AGTTGTTTCCGATCCAGTTTCCGCTTTTGCAACTATTTCTTCCACTTCTCCCTCCTTCCATAAAGAAAAATCCAAATCTTCCTCTTGAATCATTTCCAGTCCAATTTCCACTTTTACAGGCTCCACTTTTTCCTCCATTCCGACCTCTATGTTCAAAATTTGACTGTTGAAAATCTTTAAACAAAGCGGAAGTTCCATTGAACAAAGCCATTTTTCAAACTTCCTTAATCCAAGCCTCGGAGAAAAAAAAAGCGGGGGGGAAGAATCCAAAATCCAAATCCAGAATTCTCTCCATTAAAAAAAAAAAATGGTCACCAAATTCCATAAACCAAAAAAAATATGTCAAGGGGTAACAATTTCCCTCTTCATTCAGCGCTGCAGGAAAGTGAAAGTTAAAAAGAAAAATCACTCTCATCTATAGAGAAATGGCAAACCGCAGCCATTTTTTTTCCTCAATTCCACTTAACTTTAAAGAAGATGTTAATAAATTGAGTTAAAGTTTTAAGTTTCTCAAGTCCAGTTTCCCCTGGTCAGTTCTGTCTGCTTATTTTTTGCTCACCATTCTCTGTAATTCACAGAAGTGAAGGCCACGACTGGCTTTGTTCCCCCCAAAAAAGGGAACAAAGGCGCTTAGGAGACGGAGATCTCCCGGACTCCGGAGGAGTACCCAATTTCGCTCTCCCAAAATAAGGGGGAGAGCTTTTGGGACTCTACTCCTATCCAGGAATACTCACCTCAACCCCTTCGTCCGGGGCGCAAGGTTCCAAGCCGCTGAACAGCTGTTGGCCGCTGTTCATGCTGGCTCTGACGCCTTCCCAAGCGGACGCTCCAAAAGAGCCGCCATCGGCGCACCGTCCCACTGGAAGTCAACTATGTTTTTTTTAAAAAAAAAACCAAACTATGTTTTTTTTAATAGTTGAAAATATGGTCATTGGCTGCAAAAGATTGCACATCCCAAAAAGATTGATGAATTTGCTATCATCAACATACTTCTGGAATATCAAATGTATAATCAATATTGATTCATTTTTCTTGAAAATCTTACTTGTTATAATCTCTGTAGAGGGTCTCAGGATGCGATTTATGAATTATTTCAACATTCCTTTAAATATTCCCATTAATTGTTAGTTTTAGAAATTGGATGCTCTGATAAGTGCTAATGTTACCACACTTGCTTTTTCTCCACTGTATGACTAAGGCTCTTTCACCAGTGCTGAGCCCATCCATTCTTGGTTCAGCAGAAATCTTTACCAGCGTGAAAAAATAGTGTCTCATTGCTGATCTTTTCCTGCCACTGTTTCAAGCCACTGCAGTCATCTAACTCTCCTCTAGAGTAATTAATGATGAGCTTAACAAGCTTTATGCACCTTGAAGCAGGATTTGGTTAATATCAGAATTGGATGGAAACACTACTTTGACATATGTGTAGTTTAATGCTGTCTCACTGGGGATCAGATAAAGATAACATCTCAACACAGCAGAAAAAAATAGGCTGCCGGGACATGTTTCTGTTATAGATAGTTGCAAGTGGGAAAAGACCCATACCCTTAGTGTTTGGGTAGATGGATGGATGGATGGATGGATGGATGGGTGGTTGGGTGGGTGGGTGGGTGGGTGGGTGGATGGATGGATGGATGGATGGATGTTTTGCGAAGATACCTGATGTTTGAGAACAAGCATTTAGCTTAAAGAAAAATTAAAGCTGACTCATCGGATTTACTGATTTAAAGATAACATATATTCATAATAAAGGCTTGTTTTTCTCTACAGTACATGCTTTCTCAGGAGACAATAGGAGCTCTTAGGAAACCAACGTTTGATGTCTGGCTGTGGGAACCCAATGAGGTAATGCAGCACTTTGGAAACAAATCCCTGACCTCTCATCTTGTAAGGTTATTTTGTGGCTTTGTTAGTGATTGCTTGAGGACTGGGACCTTTATCTTAGTGTCATCCAGGAACTGCTCTGAAAATATACAAACAGAGTTCAGTGTCTAAAAGGATTGATTCTATATATAGAGGTAGAGCGGAAAAACAAAAGAAATTTCAGCAAAGCAGTTATAATTACAGGATTTCACAAGAGTAGAAGAGAGCAGTAGATCATTTAGTTTAGCTCTGTCCTTGCTACAGGAAATGTAGAACTAGATCATTCCCACAGATGGCTGTTGATTTTCTCTTCAAGATCTTCACTGAGGGAGAACTTACCGTCCTCTGAGTAACAGCTGCATTTGCAAGCTACTCTTACCATTAAGAAATATCTCATCAATTTCAGCTGCAATTTGTCTTCCTATATCACACCCATTCAGTCTAGGCCACGGGTATCAAACTCAATCGCATCACATGATATATAGTGATGCATCATGACTTTTTTGCCTTTGCGGAGCTGGGGTAGGCGTGGTCTGCATGTGATGCATCTGGCCCGTGGGCCGCCAGTTTGACACTCCTGTTCTAGGCCTTCCCTTGAGGACAGCAGAGAACAAGATTTTGTCCCCTTTGGAGAGACAATTCTTCAGATTCTTAAAGAAGGCACTGCTTTCTCATTCAATCTTACTACCATTTAGGCATGTGCTTTTTCCTTTAACATCTTCTCGCATTATCATTTTAAAACAATTCTAAAATATGTAGACCACCTTTACCCATCTTTTATATTAAAAAGCACCTTAAAGTGTTTTATAATTAATAAATCACTGCATTAGAAATTGAAAAGCATTAAAGCAAAGCTTTTTAACCAGATTAAAATCTCAATATTCAAATAAACTAGAGATATAGGAATCAGTTTAAATTTGAGTTGCACCAGCTATTGACATATCACTTGTTTGATTAAATTTTCTCTTTAATTGTTAGAGGTTGTGCTTTATTTAAGCAATTTCCTCCAATACATATATTTATGCAAAAATTATTTTGTACCAAAAGTTAAAAAAAAAATCATGCTGAAGGACTGCATCATTCCAAAATGTGAAATGTTCTGTTTTGCATTTTCGATAGAGGATGAGGGATATTAGTGGAAAAATTCATTGTGTCCTATCTCTGCTGTAATGATATAATTTTAATTTTAAGGAAATATGTAGCAGGTTTGTATTTCGTTCTTTGATTTAGCTAAAGTTAAATTTAAAATGTACCCCCAAAAGAAATACTGTATGCTAACGTAGCTTTTTTTTAAAAAAAACACCTATTGAAGTTCCCTAGAAAAAGCATTTCAAAAGTAGGGTTTGCATGTCATGGGAAAGCATAAGGTTTATTTTTAATTTAATCCAAATGTTATTAGGGTCAGTGAAAACACCATGATTTATTTTAGAGCAATAAAGCTTAATTTGAAACCACATTTTTGTTGGGTTAATTGTTGGCATTCGGGGTTAAACAGTGATATGACAATATGGATAGATAATGTATTTATGGTTTCTTAGTTTATGTCCAGTTTATACTCCAACCTACCCTTTAATCAATTTATTGAGAAGCAAAACAAGTCAACAGAAAATTGAGGGGAAACAAATCAAGGGACTGGTTGAACAAGTCACCTGTAAGACTTATTCTACTTGTTTCGGGCTTCTTTACTAAACTATGGTAAAAGCAGATGATGGTTTAGCCTGGTGCATAAATAAATATGAAGCCAAGGCATCACCACAAAGTATTCTTCATGCCTTTATCTTGCACCTCTCTTCCAAAAGCTGCCCAAAGAAACGCTCCTTATCTATGATCTCAATGCACAGCCAAGTTGACATGGGAGGAGATATTCTGAAAGAATTTGAATCCCAGCTCACATGGTGGAATATTGTAAATGCCAAAGTAATCGTATTACTAATACTTAGAGGAAAGAAATGTTCAGGTTTAAAATGCTGAATGTTCAGCACTCACCACTGAAAAACAGAAATTTATATCCTATGACTGTCATCTTAAATAACTTTTTCCTTGAGTGTGCTGTTAAACAGATGGTTCAGTTTCCTGCTCTAAAAATGAAAACTAAGTGTTATTTTTCTTCTGGGATTTTTCTCTTATTAAACTGTAAAGCAGGAGTGTCTAACCTTGGCAACTTGAAGAACTGTGGACTTCAACCCCCAGAATTCCATAGCCAACCATGTTAGCTGGGGGATTTCGGGAGTTGAAGTTCACAAATCTTAAAGTTGCCAAGATTGGATTCCCCTATTCTAAAGCTTGATTTGAAGGGTTTGCAAAACTGGAATCGATTCATTGCTGAAGAAAAGGACTTTTGTTGTTTTTAAAAATATTAGATTGTTTTATTTAGTATGGGCAGAGAATGAGTTAGAAATTTAGAGTCCTGAGAATTGGCCCCCTGCCATAGAAAAGGGATACTGAATCATGTTGCTGATTTGAACAGAAGTAAACATCCTCTGTAATTCTGGGGATTTCTTCCTTATTTGTTAAAAATAAAAAAGCATTATATAAAATTTAGAACAATGTATTACATTGTATTAATATATCATTCAGTTATCAACCAGGCTCCCATGACTTGTAAGTTCAAGGAGTTTTGGGAATTAAAAAATGAAATTTGTTATTTCCTAGCTGCATTTAATAGACTATATGCAACTTATTTTTAATACACAAAGAAAATATAAAAATATATACTTTTTAAACTTTTCCTCCAGATGCTGAGTTGTTTAGAACATATGTATCTTGATTTAGAATTGGTGAAAGACTTTAACATCAACCCTATCACACTGAAACGGTGGCTGGTAAGTTGCCAATGGATTTTAAACAATTTAAAATATTTATAACTTTACAGGTTTGTAAGTGTGCAAATATATATATTCTCAATGTAGACTCTAGTATTTGAAATTAAGACAAAAGTTAGCTGAATACAAAATAACCATTGAAAAATTAAAGGCCCAAAGTGCATACTTCATTCTTTTTTTCAAATTATATATATATATTATTGTTTTATCAATGATTAAAATACAAACAAAAATAAAGATAGGCAATTAAGGGAAGAAAAAAGAAAGGGGAAAGATAGTATGAGGTACAAGGGAAGACAGAAAAAGGCGTTGATTTCAGATTCTTTTTAGCACAGTACAAGATAACAATATTACAGCCTCCACTTTTTACTTTTACACATTAGTATATAACTAGCCATTTCTATAACAACAAATCTATCTAACTGGCAAAACCAAAGTCAAAGTTTCATTTTTTTTTTCTTCACAAGCACAAAATCCAGAAGTGATATCCAAATAAAAAACATAAATATATTCTCCTCTTTGAATGGAACAATCATTTTAACCATTACTGCTTACTGTTGAAATATGTATTTCAATTTGCACTTAATAATCTTTATAAACTATCACTATTTATATTAACAAAATTAACTCTATTCTTTCAGATTCTTTAACCTTAAAGGAAAAAAATATTTTTTTCATCCATTTTAAAACACTAAGATTTTCTTTAAAAAATTTCTAAAATTAACATTCTAATACATCTTTTTTTAACTTATTCTTAGCATGCATACTTTAAAGTTCACTTTCAGACCGATAAAATTCCAACATTGCCAGGTTGTCCATTACATGTACATGCCAGAAGCTAACAAACAACGTCACTGTCTGTTTGCCCCCAGTCCACCACATATGACTTCTGTCTGTATTGTTCTACTCCATGTTAAGACTAATGTTTTCTCCCTATTGCTGGCTTGAGTGTTGATGTCTGGTTAGCTTTACTTTCTTCTAAGTAGCTTCCTGCACTATGTGCAGAAGTAGGAACGCTCCCTCACCTGGGTCAATGATCACTGCCCTGAAATTCTCAGACTCCGTTGCAGTATTATTAGCAATGATGTTCAAAGAGCAGAATGGATATCACATTTGCTTGATATGCATAAGGTCACTGGTTAAAACTCAAGTGAGACATTTTTAGATTATTATTTTCCTTTTCTTAAGCCAGCTTAGAGGTCAGAGGGGACCAGCACAAGATAGCAACAGCTTAAGGGTGCAGTGCTAAAATGCCTTTAGAATGTAAGAACTGCTATGGTTCATCCAATACTGAACTCAAGAGTATTTTGGGGACCCTTTTTTAAAATGAAAAAACATAAATTATGTACCCAATAGATTGTTGGGTGATAGTTTACTTGCTGCCCTTCAACTGTTTTGAACTTCAGCCATTATTAACCCTAGCTATGATGGCTAATGGGATTTTGAAAACATGGCTAAAGGGATTTTGAAAACATAATCCATAATATCTGGAGGGCACCAGCTTCTCTACCTCTCATTATAATATGTAGCAGCCCATTAGTTCTTTTATTTGAGTTGTCTTGCCTGTTCCATGTCCTGAATCAATTTTGTATCAAATTTATTTTTAGATACTTCCATTATTTAATCATGGCATACACTCATAATACCATTTAAATGAGCTGAATCATTGCAATTATTATATTATATTATATTATATTATATTATATTATATTATATTATATTATATTATATTATATTATATTATATTATATTATATTACATTACATTACATTACATTACATTACATTACATTACATTACATTACATTACATTACATTACATTTTATACACATTTTTGTACACATGTTTTGAAATAAGAACTATATTCAAAACTCCACAAATAAATCCCCAAGGATAGGTCTGTTCCAATCTGCATAATACAGCAGTTTTGAAAGTGTGGAATAGGCCATACTGCTTAAAACTAAAATTCTTCAGCATTTTTCTTTCCAGCATTTGCACATTTTAAGATGTCGTTATCTATTCCCCCATGCTTGGTAAGCATTCAGCCAAGGTACAAATTCAACTACTTCAGGTAGAAAAATAATAGGTATACGTGGATAGTTTATGGTGGTGCTACGCAGAGTGAATGTTTGATTGAAAAAAACAAAAATGGTTTTTTTAAGAGTGCACTTTTTTGCCTTTCTTTTATGATAGTGAGAGTTAGATATATCAGGAAAAACATAGAGGTTAACCTACAGGTGGCAGGAGTTATTTAAGAAGTATTTAAGAAGAGATGGGACTAAAATGGATGAATGTGGATTAATACAAAAGTAAAATACAACTTAATATAACAATACAATACCAGAATGAAAAAAATACAGATCTGGTAGAAACTATTTGAAGATATAGGAAAGTATGGTGTAGTAAATGATATTAGTGTAAACTTTTGTCTTGTTTTATTTTCAGCCCTTAATGGTATTCTGGTATTCTATTTCTTATTCCTTTTCTATACTATATAATGTTGCTTAACCCAAAACGGAGTGGTAGAATGGGATTATATATACACTGTATATTCAGGACAATTTGGTGATTCAAAATGTTTATTATAATCACATCATCTGTACTTGGTGATTGACCTTTTTCAGGATAACTCTGCATGTCAGCCCCTCCCTGAATCGGGAGGTTTATATTTTCCCCTTTGCACATCACTGCGTTTACTTTACAAAATAGGGATACACATGCCAATATTTCCACTATTTTTATCTGGCCAATTCTGTGACCTTGTGAAGCAATTCTCTGTACCAGAGATTAGCCAACTGTTATTCAGTAGAAATGGAATATGATCCAAAGAATGAGCGGAAACAAGCCTGTATGTAGTAATAATGCAAACAAAATATATTTTGTGTTTATCTTTTTTTTAAGTACAAAGATAGAATAGCAATAATATTGTAATATTCTAGAATCTAAAAGGAGAGAATAATGACCCCAAAGGGTTGTTTATTGGGATTTAGTGCCACATTCTTGTTTTCTTTATCAGTTTTTCCTCTTTGTTTTTTATAGCTATGTATTCATGACAATTACAGAAACAATCCATTCCATAATTTTCGACATTGCTTCTGTGTTACCCAGATGATGTACAGCATGATCTCACTCTGCAACCTCCAGGTGTGTCTTTCACTGGCCACTTTTATTATCTCTTCAGTTCTCCTATCAAAAGAAAACGGACTTCAGAAAACATCATTAAATCCCTGGCTTTTTTTAAATGCTTTTTTCCCTATAACAACAGTGTTTTGTTAACTTAATATTGAAAGACCTAATGCATCTCTTTCCCCATCCCTGGGACTTTGCTGAGAATAACTGTAATTTTTTATACATTTAAGTGAAGAATTGAAAGGTCTAGTGAAAAGATGGTTAATAATCTTGGCAGTTTCTTAGTCTCCAAGAGACATAAAAAAACTATCTTACATTGCATCAGATCATTGGTTCATCTCTAGCCCAATATTGTTAACACTGGTTGGCAGCAGGAGTTCAAACAGGAGGCCTATTTGGAGACTGCAGGTGCCAGCAATTCACCTTCAGATCTCCGGCCTTACTTCTGATCCACAGCCACTCTGATGCATAAATCAGTAATAGCTCAAGATGCTGATGCCTCCTATGAAATATAAACTAATTAGGTGAAACCTTTGTCCTGTTTTTTAAATTTAAAAAACAAGCATGAAATTCAAATTTAAGAGGAGTTAAGCCTCCTTATACAAGTTTCCTAATGACCTTCCCCTCCTTAAAAAATGAAAATGCTATACATTTAATGTTTCTTTGACTTACAGAAGAGAAAACCAAAGCATCTTTCATCCAAATTCAGGGTGGCCCAAACTGCTTGAACTACTACTTGTGCCATTCTCTTGCACCATTTCCAACACAGGGGCCCTCCAGGTGTGTTAGGCTACAACATCCAGAATTCCTAATTTACTAACACCAAGTATTCAATGTACTCCAATTGTGTCTCAAAACTGTCAAGCCAAAAGGGAATTTTGCCTTACAAAGCAGGTGGGAAGAGAGAGGTGCTGCTTTATACAGCCTGATTCAGTCCTGGTCATTCTAGCTAGGGATAGATTTTCTAATTCATCTCCATTGCACACTATCTTAAGGATTTGCCCCTTGAGTCCAACATTTCTATTGCTAAAATGAAACATTTGTTAAGTGAATTTTGTCCCGTTTTACGACCTTTCTTGCCACATTTAAGTCAACGACTGCAGTTGTTAAATTAGTAACACGATTGTTAAGTGAATCTGGCTTCCTCATTGACTTCGCTTGTCAGAAGGTCGCAAAAGGTGATCACATGACCCGGGACACTACAACTGTCATAAATATGAATCACTTGCCAAGCATCTAAATTTTGTTCACATGACCATGAGGATGCCGCAATGGTCATACGTGTGAAAAATGGTCATAAGTCACTTTTTTCAGTGCTGTTGTAACTTCGAATGGTCATTAAATGAGCTGTTTTAAATTGAGGACTACCTGTATTAAGAATGTTACCCCAAATACGTAGAACTCAAATTTTTATACAGAAGTTAATCATGTCCATTATATTTCTGGGCATAAATTTGCGGCTTGAGTGGCCAATACAAGAACAATTGTATTATCAGACTTTTGTCAGACAGTTGCTGTATTTCATTCATGGAATTTGAAAAATTGGTCTATATGTTCTTTTTTGCAATGCTTCCATGTTTTCCCATTGCTTTTTCTCTCCATCCTCCCCCCACCCTGAAAAAAAAAATTAAAAAGAAAGAAAGGCTGAACAGGTCTTTTGACTGGTAGGGCAAGAATAATGCAAGGCAAGATAATTATTGATATAGTATATTTGCAAAGAAGAAGAATTTCTTGTAACCCCAAGTTATTTTCTCAAGCAAGTAGCAGAAAATAAAATATATTCCTCTATTACTATTTCTCTTTGGTACTGCAATAAAATATGAAGTACTAAAATAAATATCTTTTTTGACTAATATAAATCCTGGCACAACATATTGCAAGCTGAGCAACCTTTGCATTTAAATAAAATTTATCCACGGTTAAGCAGATCCAACATTTCCGCTCCGTCCTGTTGTTAATTATACATCACTGCCAGACTTGGATGATTTGCTAGACTGTCCTGCCAGAAAAAGGCTCCTTAAACTTGCTACAGTAAATGTAGCCATTAAGTGTTGACTTAACCTTGTTTTATGTAATTTTTCTGATACTTAAATGTCCTTCTGATGTTGTGAAAGCTGTATGAAATTATAAGACTGTATTTTCTCCCTTTTCTCTTTTAGGCAAAGATTTCTCAAATGGACATCTTAATGCTAATGACAGCATCAGTGTGTCATGATCTGGATCACCCAGGATATAATAACACGTATGTATTCTTTTGGAAGAGAGTTAAAGGCATATAGCAGTGGTTCTCAACCTGTGGGTCGGGACCCCATTTGGGGTCGATCGACCATTTCATGGGGGTCGCCAAGCAAGGCTGTCCGCCATTTTTTTGTCCGCCATTTTTTTTCCCTTTTCCAGCGGGTGCCTTACCTCCCTTGGGCTGGGCCAGCTGGTGGTCGGCCTGCTCCGTCTCTGCCGCTTGCCAGCTACGCCTCGGCCAGCACAGGGGGCAGAACCACGCATGCGTGGCGCTCCTGGGCAGGGAAAGTCCTCGACTTACGACCGGTTGGGTAGTCCTCGACTTACGACCGGTTTAGTCCTCGATTTACGACTGGTTGGGGTCGTGGCATTAAAAAGGTTGAGAACCACTGGCATATAGCAACTGCTTAGAGAAATAGAACACAATTGAAACTTCATGTTAAACGTGGGTCTATGACAATTCATCACATGGCCAGCTCACCACAGCCAGCTCGCCACAGCCAACTCGCCACAGCCAACTTACCGTGTGACAACTCACTGCAGGACAAGAGTTACACTGATATCAAAGAAATGTGGAATAGAATCATTAAAGAAAGGATGAAAAAGGAGGGACAGAATGAAATGGGAATGACGACATTTAAAATATTTTTTTTATTTATTTTAAATCGTTAAATTGAATTGTTAAATTGTCCCGCAGCAAGTTGTCCCGTGGTGAGTTGGGCGTGGCGAGTTGGCTATGCAATCTTACGCAACATCCTTTTGCAGGAATTCCACTGTAAGATCTTCCACCTAATTCCTGAGGATGCTGGCCCAAGACATTAGTGGAATAGAAAATGCACTGCCTAAATTGAAATATATAATGCTAAAGGCTGTAGGTATTATTTTGGCACTGGGGGGGGGAAAGAAAAATAAAAAAAGCCTTTCCCCCTGCTTTGCAAAAAATATAGTGATAATAAACTAAACTGTGCTCCTTCACTGTCTTCCTGTAGTACACGGTGCCTAAGACACTTTATTCTGCTGCCTGGTAAATATACACAGGATATTAATTTCAGGCTATTTACATTAGCAGGATATAATAATCTGCTAGAGTGTAAGGTTTAAGCAAATTAGAGTAGCCACTAATACATCTTCTAAAAGAGGAAGTTAATCAAACCACAAATAAGATCACTTGGCCAAATGAGGGTTGTTTTTTTTAATATGTGTACATCTTTATTAGATCTGGAAAAAAATAAATGGGATCTTCTTTGACCCTTGGCTTCAAACATGTTTTTTAAAGCTGTGTGGTAAAGTATTTATTGAAGTATGTTTCACTCTATATGTGCGGGTAAGAAATGTATTTTAGGAAACAATCTTGAGGAAGGAAGTAACATCTTATAATTGGTTTGCGTTAGTAAAGCATTGGAACAAACAGAGTACAATGACTGTATCTTCAGGCACGCATCTTTACAGAATTATAAAGATTAGTAACAAAAATGTTAACATAATTGCAGTTTTGTAAATAAATAGCATTGAAATGGATGATTGAATTGTAAAAAAAATAAATGAAGGAGCATTGCAAAAACGAAACAGAACACATCCCATTATAGCTTCCAAATTAGCTATATATTTAATGGATGAGGATATTGAAAGTGTACTGAAAACATTTTGCCTCCCAAGAAGAACAGCAGCAGAATTAAATTGGGAAAAGTGAAGAGGTGGCATTTGGATAAGAGGCAGCAATCTGAGCTTAAAGGGGAATTGTATCAGAAGGTGAACATTAATGAATGGCGAGAACCATTCAATTTCTATTTCCGTATATGACTCCATGAATCTTTCTGAGAAACATTGATTCCTAGGACACATGTTGGCACTGTATATGATTTACTGACTTATGATTATGTCGTGTATCTCTTTAAAAAGTTTGTGGTTTTTTTTAAAATAAATAAATAATTCCTACTTCAAGAGAGATCTGAAACAGATGTAACTCTAAAGCCCATTATAATTGATTGTCCACTGGATCTTTTTTCTCTTTTCATATTGGTCCTTTCCTCAGTATATATTGTTTTAAAAGCTAACAGAAACTCAAAGGTAGAAAATTAAAAGCTTAAAATAAAAAAAATATGTATTGGAATAAATAAAGATATAAATAAATGCTACAGTTCAAGATCTAAGGGAAAGCTAATTCCCAACATAAAAGAATAAAAGTACATGTCTGCATGCACAGACACTCAGATACGCATACCGGTAGATAAAACTTGCTGCAGATTTACCACTGCAGGATTTAGTTTAATGAACAGTTTCCTCTTTGCAGTGGTAATTGCTGTAGCAGTAGAGTATGCAAAACTGCACTTTAAACACACATGTCTACATCTTTGTTAGATCCAGTTTCTAACAATGTAATTCTAATCCAAACTTGATGTGTACAGAAAGCCAGTTTGACTATGTGGCTTTCCTTTTTCCCTTCTTTCACTGCATCCATAGTATTACCTCCAAGGTCTTTCTTAAGAGCAGCCACCAAGACCAAGGATGCTGTGGTGGTCTGGAATGGAGAGCAGAAGACAGGAAACCCATGAAAGCATATATTAGATGTACTAAGTTTTGAGATGAGTTTTTTTCATATCTTATTTTCACATTCTGTTTTTTTACATTACACCTGGAATTTATTATTTCCTCAGTTCCCTGTTTTTGATTCCATTGTAGAAATAAGCTAATTAGCACATTTCTGTTTATGCCTTTGCTTTACTTCAGGTACCAGATCAATGCACGGACAGAGCTAGCTGTGCGCTACAATGATATCTCCCCACTAGAGAATCATCACTGTGCGGTGGCTTTCCAGATCCTTGCACAGCCAGAATGCAACATTTTCTCCAGTCTTGATAAGGAACAGTTCAAACGGATCAGACAGGTATGGGTTCAAAGGTATGGGGTCACCTCCACATACGTTCTCTGTCACAGAGAATTGCAACTGAATTCAGCTGGTCTGTCTCAGGATTAAGGAGACTGTACCCCTCAAAATTATGTTTAACTACAATGCTCTAAAAGCTTTTATTGACCAGGCATGAAACACAGTATAGGGATGGTCAGAGATTCCCCAAGTGTTATCTCCATGGGTTGAAAATTTGAGAGCTTAATATCTAAGCCTATTTTACTGAAATGTCTCAAGTGCCCTCTGAAGCATATCAAACAGCAGAAAGAGGACTAGATCTTTGAGCATGCCAAGAGAGACTTTGATAAAAAGTTTTTAAAATCTAGAGCTAGAAGGTAAAACATAGCATGAAAGCCAGTTTGGTCTAGTGGTTACGGTATCTAGAAAGTGGGAGACCGTGAGTTCTAGTCCTGTCTTAGCATGAAAGCCAGCTGAGTGATTTGGGCCAGTCATTCTATCTCAATTCAAACCACCCCCTAGGGTTGCTGTTATGGGAAAAATAGGAGGAGAATAGTGTGTTGAATATGTTCGTTGCCTTGAGTTACTTGTAAAAATAATAATCAAAAGATGGTGCAGAGCCCGGTGACTAAGAGCAGGCGGGAATAAAATGAAATAAAATAATATTCTCCTAGGAATCCTTGATAGTCAGCATGTCTCATCTGAGAAATTCAATGGAAGCATCATCAGCAGTCAAACCTAATGAAATAAGTTCCTCGTGGACAAGCTGGTGCCTTTCAATTAGATTAGATACAACACACATCATCCTTAGTTATCATAGTAGGAATGATTCTTATTTGTAGTTTAACACAACTAGGAAATGGTTCCATTTCAGTGAAGGATATTGCAGGTATATTTGGAAAAACATTATAGCTTTTTATATTATAATGTGTTAATATATTTAACTGGTTTTATTGCAAGTTTTGTTTTTTGGGAAAAGCCCTAAGGGAATGCTAAAGAAAAGGGGGTATAACATAGCATAGTGTAACATAACATAACACACATACATTTTAAAAAAAATCATATTATGCTTTCAATCACAAAACAATGTAAAGAACATGTTATTCTACATCTATTCTTGATGTTTTGTTAGAGCAAGTCTCAGTTCATGCAGAAGCACCAAAGCCAGATCAACCCTCCTGCTATGCAAAAAAAAAAGGGGGGGAAATACATGTACATGTTTCCCCTTGTATGGCTAATAGAATTTGCTACATATTTGGACTTAATATCATGATTATAGACCTGATCCAAATTTGCCTTCCATAGCTCATTACAAAAAAAAAATAGGTAATTATACTGAAAACTCCTAGTATAGAGTTTCAGCAAAATTCTGTCCTGTGTTTTTCCTCAAAATAGCTTCCTCCTTCAGAATAAGCCATGTCCCAAAAGGGGGAAAATTGAACAAGGGGCGATAATGCAGGATCCAATCTGGGTCAATCACCGGGGTCAGGGGTTTTGTTTTCTGAGCTTACAGACTCATGCCGGAACCCGTCTTCAGGGAACGTCTCCCTCTCAGAGCTCTGCTAGAGAGAAGTTCCCTGAAGTTGGGCTCCAGCATGAGTCCGAAAGCTCAGAAGACTAAAACTCTGGTCCCAGTGATTGACCCAGATTGGATCCTGCAACATTATCCGGGGACACGTATATTTGCCTCCATTCATAAGGGGTGATAATACATGGAAAGCTAGAATAATTCTATTTCCAGAAGCAGAAATTGTTTCTTCTTTTTTCTTAAAAAAAAAACCATAGGGGATAATTACATTAATCCTAGCAACAGACATGGCACAGCATGCTGAAATTCTGGATTCTTTCAAAGAAATCTTAGATGAGTTTGACTATTCAAATGAGGAACATGTAACTCAGGTAAGATGCTTTTCTTTCTGTATTTGCATTTAGCATTTATTCAGATGGAAAAGATTCTCCAACTTGGCTTAAAGTTCAATAAAAAGAGACCATCTTGCTTTCAGGATTGGGCAGCCTGATGGCATTCCCGGAACCAAAAACCTCAGCTTTGTGGATTCTTATCATTTGGAGATGGAAAAATACACGAGCTTTTCCATTACTTATTTATAGCATCCCTGGAATAGCTTGGCAACCACAGTTCCCATGAAGCTGATCTTGTCTCATTCAGAAAGCCAGGATTAATAATATAGCTATTTCGGAGCAATCCTACCTAAGTGTGAGGAATCTTCAGATGATTCTGAACTACAGACCTTCCCACAGCCCTGCACTGGCTGTGCCTGCTTAAGGTCCGGGAGTTATAGTAGTAGAATCTCTGATAGACCATGGAGTTCCCATTTATTGTCCATGTTCAAAATGCTGAACTTCAAATCGCCATTTTGTGGAATATTGGTTTTTATTGCTTTAATGTCTACAGTGAGTTGAGGACAGGCTGCCTTGCTTGGTGGACATGTAAAAATATACTTTCACTCTTTTCAATTAAATGGAGGGGAAGGCAACCAGAACAAAGGGCCCACCCCCTGTGATATCAGGATCAGAACATAGAAGGATTTCTAATTTGGCTGTATGTTTTGCTTTGATCATTACAGAGAGTCCATTGTTCAAACAAATTTTATTTGCCCTGGTATTAATTTCACTGCTGACTTTCCACAACAAAGTGGAAAAAACATTGGCAGATAAAATAAAGATCTCACATAAACTGCTTTGCTGTTTTCAGCTGAAGATGATACTGATCAAGTGCTGTGATATCTCCAATGAAGTTCGCCCAATGGAAATAGCAGAACCATGGGTGGACTGCTTATTGGAAGAATATTTCATGCAGGTAAAAAGATACACAGTTACAGATTAATCACCATGATGATTTATATTTATAAATCCCATCTGAAGTCCATCCAATTGCAATGCTGCTGTGCTAGGACTGCAGGACTGGTTGTTATAAAGCATAATGAGAAAGTGGTAGTGGATACCAGAATAGTGGAATAGCTGCATAGGCAATCCACACACAGGTTCCCTTTCACATAAGGATCTGCAAGCTCCAACTGTCTTTCCTGTCATACCAAAAGTTATTGTAGCTTCCCTCTAGGGTGGACAGTAGATGTTGTGTTTTGATTATTGTTACACTAAGATTCTGCAGACACCTGATTGCCTTCTGCACATGGATGGTGGGATGGGAGGTTTGGGACACTATTTTGTCTTTTGTTTCTACTAGAAAAAATATGTAGGACTGACTTTATGGATCCACTATATTGAAAAAAATACTTGCAGTAAGTTTTGTGTCTAACTGCATATTGCTGCAGTTTGCAACCTAGAAAGATGATAATAGCCGAATAGTGTAAATGTTAATGGAAAGCTGCTTGTTCTCTCTTGAGAGTGGTTTCTGCCAGTCAGCTCAGCATATAAAGAATTTTCAAACTCAAGCAGATCAGATTTGAGGCAATAGAAAACACAGCTAGCTAAGGAAGACTAAGTGGGTCAGGTGGTAGATGTTGAATTATATAACTAAGCCTGTAATCAGTGAAAAAATGTTAAGAGAAAGATAAGAGAGGAAAGGAAAGTCTGGTAGTTTTTAATACATACTGTAATATAAATGTATAAAACCAGAAAACAATAGCAGCTCATAAGAGATTAGGTCAGGAGTCTTCAAACTTGCCCCTTTTATGACTTGTGGACTTCAACTCCCAGAATTCCTCAGCCAGTGTGTTTGGCTGAGGAATTCTGGGAATTGAAATCCACAAGTCATAAAAGGGCCAAGTTTGAAGACCCCTGGATTAGGTCTTCTTTCAATTAAACTGCATCACCTGTATATTTATTCTTTTGATGTGGGCTTAATTTCCCCCTTTTATTTTGAAGAAAATAACTGATTCAGGGCTTAATTTTGTATCTTCCCTCATTTGAAAGTAGGTACACATCAGTCTCCTGTTTTAAAAAAATCCAGACATACATAAGTAACAGCCAGAGATGATTCCAGTGGGAAAATGATGAGTCCGTAGGAAAGGGTTGGGTCACTCTTCTCTATATTACACTGTTCCAGTCCAGATATGAGGGGTAGATATTTCAGAGACATTTATGACACAGTTGTCAGTTGGGACGCCTGTTCTGAAACTGTATTTATATTGCTTCTCTGGTTGAACAGCACTCAAAAAAACCCTGCTTGGGCTAAAATGCAGGTTACATAAATTGTATTAGACAGATAATTAAAAATAGATAAATGATATGGTTTGTGTATTAACATTCCTATGATACATTGCTATACTTGTTGTAGAGTGACCGGGAAAAGACTGAAGGTCTTCCAGTGGCACCTTTTATGGACCGAGACAAAGTGACCAAACCAACAGCACAGATTGGCTTCCTCAAATTTGTTCTTATTCCAATGTTTGAAACTGTAACAAGGGTAAGGGACTTGGAATATATAATCAAACCCCACTTGACCAACTAAAATGGTGCCCTCATTTAATAGGATAACTTATCTTTTTTTTAAGTCAATATTTTTTTCTCAGGCTTTTATAAAATACAGGTGTCCATTTCCCAGGGTCCTACTCCCAATCCTTCTCTATTGTATACAGTATAATGTTAGCATTTTTTTTTAACCAGTGATAATCAGATAACTTTTCTTTCCCCATTATGTTAGCTTTTTCCAGAAGTTGAAGAAGTAATGCTCCAGCCACTTTGGGAATCCAGAGATCGCTATGAGGAGCTGAAACAAATAGATGATGCTATGAAAGAGGTCAGGACAGCACCTTCTCGGGTATTGCTTTATCTTATTTTCATCCTACTTCTCTTTTAACCAGCTCTCTTTAATCTGCCTGCACTTAAAATATTTTCTGGAAAAATATCTGAGGTATTTCTTTCTCTGACTCATTCTTCAAAAAAGTAGGTCACTTTGCTTTTCCAAACAGTATTCAATCTATGTTTGTGTGTGAATGGATATGTGTGATAGCCACCACTTTGCTCCAATGATGTCCTAGAAAAAAGTTATATTTCAAGCATAATAAAGAGTGCAAAATGATGCTTAGGCTGCCAACGTAGGTTATGCTGCTATAGCACGGGGGGGGGGGGAACCATCCCTATAAATTATGCAGGAATTTTTTTAAAAATGTCATGTTGGTATGTTCCATCTCTGTGAAACCTTTGGAGATTTTTTTTCTTCTCCAAAGAGAAATAAGTAGAAATTTATCTGTCCACAAATATTATGGAAGATCTCAAGTTCCTATTTTCTTCCAGTTTTACTTACCACACCAAGTATTGCTTCTGTTGGTTCTCAGTTATGCCTCCTCTGTTAATTGTCTTCAACACTTAGATTTTAGAAAGTGCACAGTGGTCCTGTAATATACTGTATACTTGGCTTTCAAACCCCAAGGCTTGGGGTTAGCAAATGGTTCCCAGGAGAATTCTAAAGTATACTCCCAGACTGTCTTCTCCCCCAGTTCAAATAATGTTAAAGTTATGAAATTGTATTAGGTCTTTCTCATGAGCTTTGGTCATTTATTTAATTAGACATCTGGTTTTTCATGGAACATCACATGAATGTGCTTATTATCTGTCTACCAATCAACAATTTCAATGTATTTGGTAGCTCAGTTCCCTAAGGACAATTAAATAAATTCAGAGTTCAGCAGCTGATGTGTCATAGCCAAGTATTATCTCCCTTGAGTCAAACTCACATCTAGCTGTTTGAATGGGCATGCCCATTCTGTATTCTTACCATTGCTCCCCCTTTTTTTGACTTCCCAGTCTACTTTGCAATCTTGGCCTTTATATTCAAATTTATTCCATCCCTACAATTCACATTTCTTCTTGGCTTTGAAGCAAAATTCTATTTTAAAAAGCCTTATTTTCTACCCTCTGGTTGCTAAGGACATGAATGATATCAACTGTGCAACATATATGATTTATTTTTATTTCTGTGGGTTGATCTGTGTGGGAGACAGTGGCTTATATCTAGAAGGTCTATGGCCTGTCCGCTCTGGAGATTGTTTTAAATGACAGCTATGGTTCCTGAGAACTGAATTTTATGTTGTGCAACAGAAAACTGAGCAGGCTTTAGTCTTCCTCCCAATAGGATAAAGTTCATTGGCTGCTCCTTCAAACTGAGCAATGAAACAATGGAAACACTAACCCAAAGTAGATTTCTGTAATGACCAGTGAAGCCAGCACACTAATCAAGCAGGCTTGCAGATGTTATACCCCACTTCTACCAGCATACTTAAAAGGCAGTATTTTGTTTAGGTGACTAAAAATTCTTAGCAAGCAAATAAAATAAAGGCTAAACATTTTTCTATAATTATGTACAGGGCAACATAGATGGTCTTTCCAATCTGTTGTTCTAAGACTTTGGAACTCCTGCTAATAAATATCAGGCTATTATTTTCTCAGATTTTTGTTGCATTTTCTTGATTTTCAAACTCCCTAAATTTTCCTCACTGGATTAAGGCTGGATCTTTCTGGAGAAAATTCTCCATTTTCTTTCTTTCTGGTGAGGTTCACAAAATTTAGAACAAAAATTTAATAAGTTTTGTATTCTAACTATTTAGTTACATGGCTTCTTGCCTGGTTTCCTCTTATATAGCTAAGTAATTACTGTAGTTTTTAAAAATTAAAATCATGCTCAGTGCTATTCTCAAAGCAGTTCATTTAAAAAAAAAAAATCACTCGCATGAAAATGTACTTTGTGTTTTGGGGGCACTTTAAACTCCAACTAATAAATCATCATCTGTCGATATCTTATTCTTGTCAGGTGGATAAGTATGTAAGCATTTCATATTTGTGCTGCTCTTCTTCCTGAACTACATTTCCTCTCTTATTGATTTGTGCAGACTTTGTGAACTCACCCTGAAATTTGGGTTTAGGAAAGGATTCTGTACAGAAGTAGGAAACTCTGGGAAGTTGGTGGGAGAAAAAGATGATAAGAGTGCTAAAAAATGCAGTTGAAAGCTCCCTTTATCTCCTCTCTTCTCAAAACAATCTTTGCAGATTATTTGAAACCAGTGCTTTTTTTGTTAAAAAAAAAAAAGGTGCTGGAACTCACACACATCATACAACCTGCCTTGCCTACCCTACAAGGTTCCATCCAAAAAAGGTGCCGGAACTCCGTTCTGGGCGTTCTATGACAAAAAAAGCCCTGTTTGAAACAATGTCAAAACTGTGAATCCAGTGATTTCCAGTTTTTTAAGCAGTGTGCAATTAATCCATACAACTCACTTCCATTAGATGTAGGGATGGCCATTACCTAGAATATTTTAAAAGGGGGTAGGTAAGTTTCAAAATGGCAGAATATTGGATTACTGTTAGCTATGATAGCAATAACACCAATGAATGCCAGTTGCAGCAAACATCAGAGACCTGTGTTCATAAACGTTTGTGAGATCTTATAAAAGCTTGGGCTCACTGCATTAAAAAAGAAGAAGAAGAATGCTGGGGCAGTTGTATAATTGATGTGATCCAGTGGGGCTCTTGCAGTTTTTACGGTCATCTCTGATGCAAACATTACTCACAGTGTTATGCCTATCAGTCTACTTTAAACTCACTCAAAAAATGTTCACGTCAGGATAACATGCTGGAACTTTGCAATCTTAATTAGAATGGATGCAACCTATATAGTAAGAATGTCTGGCCCCACCCTGGATTTTGAGCTCTCTTGGTTATAAAATTTTCAGCAAGAAACAGCACGTTTCTATACAAAACATATTATATGTTGCTTTTTTTAGCTGGAACACCTAACTGCTGGAAATAAATACAAAGCCTATAATGGCTTTGAAATAGTCCTTTGCAGGGACAACTGAAAACTCCACTTATCTTTTTGGACCCTACACAGTAATAATTTTATGTGTGATGTTTAATAACACAGTGGTTGAATGGTTGATTTATGAAATGACATACCTTTCAATAAACCAGTTACTTTATTTCAGTTTCAGAAGAAGAAGAATGAAAGTTTGGCATGTGAAACCAGAGAGAAGTGAAAAGCAAAGCACAAAGAAAGGTTACCTATCAAAATAATTTCTACTTATTCTTTGAAGGGTTCTGAATACCATAGCAAATATTTAATAGTCAAATGTTTGAAATATTTAAAATAGGAAATCGTTGTGTTAAAGGAATCCAGCCAATTTCATTGCATGCATACATACATATCTTCCTAACATGCTACAATATTCCCTTTTGAGATAGTTTTATGCAAAGTGCAGAAAATATAAATATAAAAAGCGTTTTAATAAATATATTTTAAATATACATTTTAAAATAAATTTAAAAAAATAAAAAATATACTAAACGCATATGATAAGAAGAAGAAAGGGAAACTTAGCTAAATCTAATATAAGCTAACATCAGCTAGTATACCTCTTTATATCTTTTTATTCTTGCAAAACATTGTTTCTATAGTATCTTGCCCATATACTGTTTTATGCATTGTCTTTTTTGCAATATATTCAATTTTCTTAATCAGAAATGCCTTTTGGAAAAATCTCAGAATACCTTTGTTTGGGTTAAATATTAATTTATTTACTTTTTGTAAATATTTTATTAATTTCAAGCTTTACAATCATAAGTACTTAATAAACAACTCAGTGTCTGGGTTCCTTTATCATTCAGTGGTATATGTTAACTTTCACTCAAAATATCCAATACTACACCATCCAGTATTTTCCTGATCCTCTCTTCTTTCAATAATAATATTTTTTCCCCACTATGCAAGTATAATTCTTACTGCTATTAATACCTATGCAATTAAATATAAACATCTTCATCACATAATATCTTCTCTAGCCAAAACATATCTCAAATGTATTTGCAATCAGAGTTCCCTTATTCAATCTGTATCCTGTTTTCTCTCTCTTTTTTTTCAATTTTAATTTTAATTTCCCATCAATATTCAAAATAACTATCAATTATAATTTTTCTCATAATTAATTACATTAGGGTAACTAAAAACTTCCCTTATACCGACCCTCTTAGTATTTTCATATTTCCCATCATATAGAAAATTTTGTTATCCTAGTTACAAATCACATCCTTCTATTTTATAATGGTCCTTTTATTTCTAAAAATTGTCTATTCTTTTAATCATATTCAAACATCCATTAGATGGTATAGTACCTCATCTAATTAGTCAGGACCTCTATTTTCTTCAGTCTTACTTACTTACTTACTTACTTACTTACTTACTTACTTACTTACTTACTTTGCCAAATAACTTTGCAAGTCAGTATATTTAAGTATATATTATTTGGAATAAAAAAGACAATTTAATTAAAGTGTTTTTGTAAAAATGCTTAATCCATTTATATTCGTTAAAAAGCCTCGATTTTCTTTCTCCTTCAGTTACTCTTTTAGTTTCTTGTTCCCCAGTTTTCAGCATGTTTCCTAACAGCTCTGTCATCCATTCTACCAATTCTTCTTGTTCTCAAATATGATCTGAAGTCTTGAAAAGTAAAATGTCTTTCCCACTTCTGGGAAAATTTTTATTTATCTGCACCTGTCTGTTGGTTTCTTCTTTTGAATCCTCTGTCTTTATGTCAGTTTCCTCTATTTTTTCCTCTAGTTTCTCAGTTTCTAGTTCATCCTTTGTGGTCATTTTCTGAATATTTTTTGCTTGTAAGTTTAAGTTGGAGAGTTGCTCATTTATGTTATTTAAATTATTTTTAGTCTCCTCATAATTTAAAACAATTGTTTCTTGAAGTTTCCCTCTGTTTCTTAATATTTCTTGATAATTCTTGAAATTAAAAGTCAGTCAATATTTGTAATCCAGGCCGGCCAATTTAGAATAGTTTATTGTCTCCTTTATACAGATAAAACAGCCCAAGGATTTATTTTTTTCCCTTTTCCCAGCTGCAATCTGCAAAAGTGAAAGTTTCCAGGAACAACAAAGACCCTTATCTATGTCCGAGCTTAGTGCCAAATTTTCTTTAAGCATAATAAATTGTAATGCCAAGGTTCACCACTAGATGTCGATAACATCCATCTTCCAGTTTTTAAATCCAAACCTATTTCACCAACTTTGCAAATATCTTTTCAAATATAAAGTCTTAAAAATACTTTTCGTCCCCAAATTTGTCAAAGCCATGTCTCTATATTAAATCCAAATTAATCTTGTAGTTTTCTCTAATTTCCCCCCCGAAGAAAGATATTTGCCACTTCTCTTTTCCTGAGAGAACAGAGTGGAAATTCCCCTTCTCTCTTTCATCTAGGGGATTCTTTGCTTTGGGAGTTCTTTTTCCAGGAAAAGTTTTTAAAGTTATAAAGAGGGGATTGTTCTCACCCAGTTCCATCTGTGTTGTTCAGAGGTTGCTAATTAGTGCTTATCTTGGGTTGTCAGTGGCTTCTGGCTGGCCACATAAATGTGGCCAGCCTTTCTTCTGCCAGTTTGAACTGCTTCCTCGGATCAAACAGAAGGGCTGCCGCCCCTCTGCAATCAACGAGGGTCCCTTTCTTCTTCGTCACCTCTCAAGGGCAACTTTAGACCCTTTTTAGGGTCCCCAGCATAGCAAAATCGGACATGGAAAACGGAGCCCCATTTTCCTGCGCCTGTTATGGCACAACGTCTAACCCAGAAGTCCCGGGTCAAATATTAATTTAATAGAGAATCAGTAACAAATAGAAAGTCAAGTGGTTTCTATTATTGGCTTATCAGTAGGAAACTGTTGCAGCAAATATTATTGTAACGGCCCAATTAAGAATGGAAGAAACCTAAAAGTCACAATCCAATGGAACACAAATACATTCAAGTCCCACTGATGTTCACGATGTTCATTCAAGTTTCTTTTTGATTAGTTTCCATCCATTGCTTCTTGTCCTGCCTTCAGGTGCTATTCTCCAAAGCACCTGAAGGCAGGACAAGAAGCAATGGATGAAAACTAATCAAAGAGAGAAGCAACCTAGAACTAAGGAGAAATTTCCTGACAGTTAGAACAATTAATCAGTGGAACAACCTGCCTCCAGAAGTTGTGTATGCTCCAAGACTGGAAGTTTTTAAGAAGAGACTGGACAACCATTTATCTGAAATGGTATAGGGTTTCCTGCCTAAGCAGGGGATTGGACTAGAAGACCTCCAAGGTTCCTTCCAACTCTATCATCATCATCATCATCATCATCATCATCATCATCATCATTATTATTATTATGTCAGTAGAACCCAAATATCTTTAATTATTTGCTTTGGCTATATTAATATCAAATGGCCTTAAAACAGACTAACTATGATTGTCTCTAGATATGCCAGTCGTTATCTTTTAGACATGCTGGCAGTGAAGAAGAGGGTTGTAGTCCAATAGTACTCTATTTTGTACAAGGTTTTATTAAGTGTCATTTGATCTACTCTAATCCTACTATTTCCTTGGTTAGCTGTGTTATAGCAAGTTTGTTCCCACACTGCCATACTACAAGTCATCCTCGATTTATGGCCAAAATTGAGCCAAAATTTCTGTGGCTAAGCAAGACAGTTGCTAAATAAGTTTTGCCCCAATTTACAATCTTTCTTGCCACAGTTGCTAAGAATCACTGCAGTTGTTATATGAGTAACACGGTTAAGTGAATCTGTCTTCCCCATTGACTTTCCTTGTCAGAAGGTCACAAAAGGTCATCGCATGACCCCAGGACACTAAAACTGTCATAAATACATGCCAATTGCCAAGCATCTGAATTTTGATCACTTAACCATGGGGATACGGCAACTGTCACAAGTGTGAAAACTGGTCATAAGTCATTTTTTCAGTGCCATTGTAATTTGAATGGTTGCTAAACGAATGGTTGAACTACCTGTGTTTTCCTTCAGGCACTGAGGTAGCAGCACAGTATGCATTGCACTGACCTTGTTGCAAGGCCCTTATTTTGCCTCAGTCATGAGGTAGAAAGTGGCATTGTCCTTACAACTGCAATGTGGAAGAAAAAATTTAAAGAGATTGGTGGATTCCTATGGGTTTGGTCTGCCCTTCCACTGAACATCAGATCTGGAGGTGGTGGGGGGGGGAGTGTGTATGTATGGGGGCTTTTTATTTGCCCAGTTTCTGATCCCGCAGAGTAGTTCTATACAATGAGAGGCCTGATGGGGAAAGAGTCAGCATGGCAACACCGTCACTTCTCTTGCCAACCTTCTTTGTCCTGGGTCAGGGCAGAGGAGAGAGAGAAGGGCACCTGGAATAACTTAAAATGGTCAAAATGGGCTGGGAATGAGAAGCCAGCATCGTGGGGACATGTCCTTTAAAAACAGCAGAACAACCAGACATTATTCTTTGAGCCTAATGATGTTTATATTTTAATTTTAGCATTACAGTTGACAAAAAAGATCCCTTAGAAGTATGGCAAGTTCATCGAAGCATTGTGGGATTATCCAGCACAGACAAAGGATGAAGCTGAATAATTAACACTACTCAAGCACTTTTCACATTCCTTTTCTAAAGACTAGTATTTTTCCTAATGGGTACAAATGTTAAAGAGCCACCATTGTTGCATACGATTTTTTTTTTAATTTTTAAAGTGGTCTTTTAAATAATATATTCTTATATCAAAACAAAACAAGCAAACGGTTGTTGTAATTATTCCCTTTTGTATATTTTATATGTGGTTATTTTTAATGCTTTGGGCGATTTTCTGAAAACATTGGGGAGGGGGGAGGGGAATGATGAATTTGTATGAAGAGTCATTTCAGAAATAGTTACAGTATATGAATGGGAACCAGATTCTGCCCCATTTTCTGCCTTCTGTCACTTTTCTCACACGTTTGACAAAACATCAATTTCAGGCTAGCTAAGAAAACAGTTTTCTGCTTTACTGGTCAGCAGCTGTTTGTAGTCAAACAGCTTGAGAGAACTGAAGCCCGGGGCTACCCCTCATTTCTTGTTCCTCATTCCATTTTCACAAATGCTGCTTCTTTACACTCATTTTTATAACTGAAATGTTCCCTCTGAAAACAGAGATTGTGTCAGAGGAAATTAAATGTGCAGTCTGCTATTTTCCCAGAAAGGCTTGTGGCCTCCAGAAAGGCTCCAAAACTTTTTGCTAAGCTATCATTTTTAATGTGTCTCCCAAAATATAAAATTATTAATTCTGTGACTGTAACCCTATTAATAATTTAATTAGTTTAAACTGCATGACACATTAATTTCAATTACATTTTAAATCCAATCTAATTTTTATTTTAGTCTTGATCACTTTTTGGAATTTGATTCTTGGCAAACCATTGTAAGATGTGTCCTTAAATACTGAAACAATTAAGATGCTGTCAATGTCCGGGGCATTATTGACATGGGTTCAGCAATCCCATGTAGCCAGGACTTTGGGGCAGAAGCCCAGAAGTCTAACCAGCAGATGAACAGAATCACCTTGTCGTGCAACAGTTCTGACTTACTCCACTTTAAAGTAAAATATTACAAATTACCAGTGAAAGAGGGATTGTCAGATGACTAAGTGTAGAATCTCTCAAAACACAATTCAACTGTTTTGTCAGCATTTCCTCTATAGCAGCAGTTGGGCAAAACCTAATTGGCTTAGCTAGTGAAATGCTTCAAAACACTGTATCATGGGGATCAGTCCCATATCAGACACAAATCTTGGATATGGAAGGAGTCCAGTGGTGGAATTCAGCTGGTTCGTACCGGTTTGGTAGAACCGGTAGCTAAATTTTGTTGAATTCAGAGAACCGGCTGAATGCACACTGCTTCCGGAAGTCTGTTCTAGGCCTGGGAGGCTCAGGCCTAGAACGGCTCGCTGGAAGTGTGTGGATGCCACTTCTGGAAGTCCGTTCTAGGCCTGGGAGGCCTGGAGGAGGCCTCACAGACCTAGAACAGCCCACCGGAAGTGCATGGATGCTACTTCCAGAAGTCCATTCTAGGCCTCAGAGACCCAGTCCTGCATCCACGCAGAGAACCGGTTGTTCAGGTATTTGAATCCCACCACTGAAGGAGTCTAAAAATTGTCTACCAGCTCAATAAGCTGCCTGGACAGGAAAAGAGATTGTATGGGAACCATAACTACACAGCTCTTTTAAGGACAAATGGTGCATTAGTGTAACCAATAGCTAAAGCTGCACGGAGTGGGTATTTTTCTTCTACCTTGCTTTAGTTTTTATTATTACATCACTGCTCTAAATTCTTTTGGTATACAGACTCATTTGGTCTTATATAGTTGTCTGAAATAATCTACTAACATAACACTTCAGTAAGCTTATGTTTGCCTAGTTAACCAAACTTGGTATGCCTGCAATATTTTTTTCTCTGAAGATTACCTCATGTGGTAGATATCCTCTGAGAAGGAATAATGCAGCTTACTTCTTAAAACCTTCACAGTTGGAAAGTAGACCTTCAAAAACAAACAAATTTCATGCAGTATAAGGCATCCGAGGCTGATAGTCTTGGCAAAAAGGAAAGTTCATGTTTTTAGATGTCTGCTTACATTGGCCAAGAGATTGGTAACTATTTTATAAAGGTGAGAATGCTTATGGTCCAGTTTGGAGTGCTATAATGTATCCAATTGCAATAATAATATGATATAAATGATACAAATACAAGATCAAGAATGGATAGACCAAACTACATATGCAAGATCTACGGAAATCTTTTGAAAGATGGAGGATTCAGCAAGCCCACGTTCAGTTCATGGCTTGGGAGCATTGCTACTACCATTGTTGGTCATCTTTCAAGCCCAACAGTGTGTCTTGGGAACAAGCAGAGCAAAAATGAAAACAAGCAGAGCAAGATGGGCAAAACAACTTACAGTGTGTGAATGGGTTCAACAAAGCCCCATCTATTGCAGTATTACAGTGAAATGGATTGAAGCAGCACACCCCAAATGGATAATTTTATGAATCACTTAAGAATACTGACAAACCTCTGCTCAGCTAATGCATCTCTTCAAATCACGTGTGCTGCATTGGGCCAAAGGATATTACTAATACAGTGCCTTGTGCACACATAACAGATACAAAAGTTAGAATAGGCAAAATAAGCTGTTTTAAAAAAAGATGTACGTCTTGTTCAAATACCATGTTAAACTATAATACGATTTAATTTTGACAGTGTACCATGTGGTTTTTGTTATTATCATTTATTATCCACAGCTAATGGCTTTTGATATGCCCTGGTTCTGGAAATTTGGCTTAACACAATGTGTGGGGAAAAAAACATTGAGAAAAGAACTGTTATCTGACTGGAATAAAATGAGGTACAAAAAGATCCTCAAAGGGCTTCTGTGTGGTGCACTGAGGTTTGACAGCTAAGATTAACCAATGGATGAGAAATCTTGGGAAGAAATGTGATGGGCAGCATATAGACATATGAAATTTTGGCCATGTTGCTTATAAATGTGCTTAGAGTTTAGCCCAAAGTTTTGCTTAATTGTACAGTATAATAGATTGCCCTTATTTGGGAATGGCGATGGACTGTTTTAATTGTGCGGGATCCAATCTGGGTCAGTCACCGGGACCAAAGGTTTTGTCTTCATTTTAATTGCTGAAGTACTCTATATCGATTTACTCACATATACTGCCCACAGTCAGCCAGATTGGGGCAGCTGATACATGTTCTTAAATAAATACAGATGAGCACCAGAAATATGTACAAAACAGGAAAGGAAGGAGAAATGTCCCTGTGATGTTCATTTCAGTTCTTCAAAACAAATGCTTAGAAAATACATTGAAGTTGAACACAATGATCCAAGAGAAATAAATACCTGCTACCTAACTTCTTCTTCACCTACCATCAAGGTGTTGCTAAAAGGAGAATGCATGGAATTCCCAATCTGAAGTTTCATAAGCTGTTCTTCTACTTATAAATTCAGAGCCATCCATAAGGAAGGTGCTGCATTACAAGGACATGAATGTTTCTTCTTGAAGAACACATCCAAGCCATATGCCTACTAGTTAAAAATGCTGCTTGCTGAGTCACAGTTCTTTTCACAAAAAGGAAACATGTAGGTGGGAGCTCAGATTTTTCTTCCACACAAAACAGGAACTGTTGGCTCATTCGATTAACTGAATAATAATCTCCCCATGTTCATTATGGTAAAAGATGCTTTGGAGGAACGTAACTTGTATTCATGTTTGGAGTTTAATGTATTTCTCCATGCACCACTTTCAAATAATTCTCCATGTGTTTGGATGAATGATTTGCTGTTGGTTTTTTTAGTCCATTTCTGGTGATCAAGAATATTGTTTAATCCACCCATAATGTACACTTTGCACAATTATGTAGCCCTTCAATCAGTAATTGACCCACTTCTGAGGAAGAAGGTTGCAAATGTCCTTATTTATGAGTTGTTATTTGGAGGCACTTATGCATCAAATGAATTAAATGTATTATTCTAAACAGCTGTAATTTCTTTTTAAAATGGAACCAAAATACACTGCTATTATGTTCTCTGTTATTGTATTTCTGGTATTTATCACAAGTCTCTGGGCTGCTTCCCTCTCCAAATTAAAGCTGATTCTGTGAGAAAAAAAATACGGTTTGAGGCAATTAATAGGTCTTTAGAGAAAAACTGTTAAGTGCCTGCACCTGCATCCTCTATTCATTGCTATTATATATCAGTGTCATTTTGAGAAAGCATATTAACTTGTTACACTCTCAGTGGCTAAGGCCATCAGTCTCTTTGAGAGCAAAATTTTAATTGCTGTTTATGACCTCCAGCAGCATTCATAGCTTGACAACAGCGAAGGGCTGCTTTTTTCCTGTCATAATTTTAATTTTTATTAAAATACATGGCCATGGACAAAAAAGTTGGAAAAGAATACAGAATATAAATCTGTGTATTTGTGCCTATGACTAAGCTACTTAGATTACTGATTTTCACTGTTGTGACTTAAAATTTGGCCACGATTTTGAATGCTTCCTGATCCTGGTTATTTACAAAATAGCACACAATTGCCAACCCAGATCAATCTTATCCAGGATTAGGAGCATCAGGAGACTAAATCAGTATAATTTTAAATGTTACATCATACACGCTAACAATGGTACAAATATTTCAAATTCTCATGGTATTGTCTACATAAAAATCCATGTCTCCAACACTTCTCTAAGGCCATCATAAGCATTTCTTATACTGTACATTTTTACACAAAGATATCAAACAGCCAAAGTGGTCTCACACATCCTAGTCTTATTCCTGCTCAGTGTCAAACCATTTATTTATTCTCATGCATGTTTTGTATTGTATTCTTCTTACCACATTCAGTAATCAACTCATAGCTGTGCAAAGTGTTCTGTAATTCAAACCTGTTCACTGTATCATATTCTTTTTCAAAATCATAAAATGTGCAATACATTTTATTTCTCAGTAACTTGCTAACGATCAAAAATATAGTCTGTATATATTTTTCTGACATAAAGTCACATTAAATATCTCAGATTTAGCTCATTGTTGCCTCTTGTGCGCTTTCGATCAAAATTATAAATTTTTCCAGATATGCTTACCAAACTGATCTACTTGTTTATTTATTTATATACTGTACCTGCCC